CCCCACCCTCTCCTGCTTCTCCACACCCTCTCCTGCTTCTCCACAACCTCTCCTGCTTCTCCACAACCTCTCCTGCTTCTCCACAACCTCTCCTGCTTCTCCACAACCTCTCCTGCTCCTCCACAACCTCTCCTGCTCCAGGACAACCTCTCCTGCTCCGGTGTAGCCTCTCCTGCTGCAATGCAGGAGCTCTGCGGGTTGCACCTCTTGTGCGGGGCCCTGGCCGAGGCCCCCCTTGCCTGCGGGCAGGCTCTTGCCAAGGGGGAAGGACCAGCCCGGCAGCGGCAGGGCTGGATATCCCTAAAACGTTGTTGCTGTCACAGGCCTCTGGGGCTCCTTTCGTAAAGGGGTTTTGTTTTCTCATGTTTATTGGCGCTTCCGAGGACTGGGCACTGGGGCCCTGCCGGGAAAGGGGCCGGGCCCGGCCCCAGCGGCTCCGGCGGCCACGTCAGATTGGGCAAATAAACTCCAAGAATAGGCAGTGGGAACTAAAAAAGCACCGCGGTTCGTCCCCTTTGAAATGCATTGCTCTTCAACGTGCCGGCTCTTGCCGGAGGGGAGGATGAAGCTCCTGCTGCAGCCATCGCCCTATGTGCACGGCCACCACCGAGGCCACGTGCCTGGTGGCCCAGAGCCCGTGTTTTGGCCCTGCAAACCCCACGTTGGGGTTTGAGAGCCCACCGAGACCCGCGGTGGAATGTCCTATTTCATGGTTTTGGCATTTGGATGGAAAATAACCGGTAAGTAGGCAGCGTGTTTGACCAGGCATTGACTCTGCAAGGAACAGACCACTTAATGAAGCCCCCAAGGCACTATGTTTGGGCAAACTGAAGTAATGAGTAACGTAGGTATCTACAACGCTGCTGAGATGGGCTGTAGTTTTTTTAAAAAGTCCCAGTATCCAAGACAGGGGGGGACAGGTGACCGCTCTGGTCTATGGATTCATGAAGATTAAGAACAGTCTGAGTGGTTCTTCCTAGCGACAGCTCTTTCTTGATAGTCACGTGGCAGCAGCAGAAAACACGCTCTGTATCTTCCCAGGTGGACTGGAGTTCCAAATTCCCAAATTTTCCCACCATGACCCCAGAGCTCACCCAGATCTGGGTCCCTTCTGGACAAGGGAGTGCGCGGCAGGACACGCTGCTTGCCTGGAAGCCAGCGTTCAACGCCGCTCCTCGGAGCATCCCACCCTCCCCGCGTTTCCCATGGGAGAATCCCCGAAGCCGCGTGGGACACATCCCATGCATCCCTCCCCAAAGCCCAAGCAGGGAAAACATCCCGTGGGGAGCAAACCCCTCAGCTCTTCCCTGCGCC